TCCAAGAGAACAAACTGGATGAGTGTATTTATCTGAAAGTCCTTGGTGCGAAGGTCATATTCTTAGTATTCTATGTGGACGATATATTATTAGCTAGCTCCGATATGTCTCTACTACAATCAACTAAGAGTATGCTCACTCTAAACTTTGACATGAAGGACTTGGGGGAAGCTCGATTTGTTTTGGGCATAGAAATTGTAAGAGATCGTGGTATGAAGTCTCTTGGTCTTTCTCAAAGGCAGTACATCGATAGAGTTGCTAAAAGATTCAATATGGACAAATGTTCGAATGGAGAATTACCTATCGGCAAAGGAGACAAACTGAGCAGTGATCAATGTCCCAAAAATGAATTAGAGAATGAGGGAATGAAAGACAAGCCTTATGCATCTCTTGTAGGGAGTCTTATGTATGCTTAGGTATGCACAAGACCGGATTTGGCTTTTGCACTGAGTGTACTTGGTAGGTTTCAATCAAATCCTGGTGAATGTCATTGGGTTGCAGCGAAAAAGGTACTGAGGTATCTCAAAAGAACAAGAGATTTCATGTTAACTTACGGTCATGTGGACAAGCTGGAATTGGTGGGGTTCACGGATTTGGACTTGGCAGGGTGTGTAGACGACAGAAAGTCAACTAATGCATATATTTTTCTGTTGGCTAATGGTGCAATATCTTGGAAAAGTGCAAAACAAAAAGGTATTGCATCTTCAACTATGGAAGCTGACTTTGTAGGGTGCTATGCAACAACTCAACAAGCCATTTGGCTTAAAAACATGATGAAAGGATTGGAAATCGTTGACAGTGTTGAAAGGCCTCTCAAGTTGTATTGTGACAACAAAGCTGTAGTTTTCTTTTCAAAGAATAACAAGAGATCTTATGCCAGCAAATTGATGGACATCAAGTACTTAAAAGTACGAGATGAAGTGAAGAAAGGAACTGTCGAAATTGAGTACATCAACACAAGTTTAATGGTTGCTGATCCAATGACAAAGGCTTTACCAGTGGGAGTTTTCAAGAAACATGTTTTCAACATGGGAGTAAAAGAGGTATTTGATTCAGTTAATGAGTGGGAGTAAGCACTCCATAAACTGTGTTGGATTTGTTTCAATTTTGTTTACTGCTTGAAGGTTGTTAGTTATCTTGCAAATTTGTTATCGTTATTGATTTGTTTAAATTGGCTGATTATGTTTCTACAAACAATTTTGGTACTGGAATTATTTCAGTTTGTTAATTGGAACTGACATTTTGAATTGTCAGTTCTTGACGTCATGACTCTCAAGAGTGACATAGTGTTTTTAAGCTAAATATGTATGTGATCACAGAGTGCAAAGTGCAAGCTATTCGTGCTTTGTTTTCTGTGGTCCTATATTTTTCTTAAAGATGACAAGTTACTGAGAAGGATCAGTTGCAAGCTTTTGTGAACTCTATGATCATCATGATTCTTATCATATTGAGATATATCATTGACATTCAAGTGGGAGAATGTAAAACTTGTTTGAATGACAATGAGATTACAACTGGACTACTTGGGTGGCGTTTAACTAGTCATACTAGTTATGCGAAACACAAGGAGTCTGAGAGTTTTGGTATGACAAGAATCGTGGAGTTTTATGTTGCAGCTGTTCAATTTTGATCCTTATCAAATATATACTAGTATATAGAGTCATGATAGGACTAAAACTTATTAAGTGATAGAGATTATCACTCTTTCTGATAATAGGCTGGATCGAGTGAATCTCTAGTAACATGGGTGGATATATATAGTTGAAGTCCCTGCCTCCTCACAAACGCTCTGAATATTATCTAAAACCCTATTCACTTAGAGAAGAGCATTTCGAGTGTTGGAGGTAGAAGACTCCTTCTTCTGTTGTTTCTTCAATGGCGATGCCTCCAGGTAAGTGTCTTACAGATTATAAACTGGTGTTTCTCTAGTTACGGTGAATCTGATATTAGTTGGTAATCCTAGTGTTGTGTTGGTTTGTTGTGCAGCAATAATTTATTTTATTCATATACTGCTTACAAAATCTGGGTAGAAGCACACAACCAAGGACGAACTACTTATGAAATGGTGGGAAAGAACTACATGGGGGGGGGGGAGGGAGATGAGGTGTTATAAAAGCTAATAGAAGGTAGGGGAAGGAGGAGACGCGGGGAGGGGGCGGCGCTGGGAAGGGGGAGGGATAAAAGGGAATAAAAGAGGTAAATGGGTTGGCAGAAAGTTGGGGCCGGGGGGGAGGGGGGAGAGGCTGAGAGTAAGGTGGGGAGTGGCTGCCGCCAACCTCAATCTGGAGCAAACAGCCAGCTACTAAGATTGTAGAAACCTAGGGTTTGGTTTTGGGAAGGGTGAGTTGGGGAGAGTTGAGAGCAAGGCTCTGGGCATTAAACTCTCTGTATGATATAACTAAATCCTTAATTATACTCCTGAGTAAGGAGTAGGATTCTCTCCCCTCCAGTCCATTCCTCTCTCACTTTCCTTTTTTTATTTTTCTCTTTATAAAGAAGTCAATACTAGAAGTTAACGTGGTTTAATCGTGACAAATTAAATACCCTCCTTAAAGTACGTCAACCTCTGTCAAGGATGGCAAAAATACCCGTGGGTGTAAATGCCTCGGCAATTTGCACTTTTTAAATTAGATGCGACATATATGGTAAGACCTTCCTTCTCGAAACCATATTGTGTATGATTATAAAATATCGAACATATATGATATTTTTATAATCTAGAAATTTTCTTTTTCTTCGTTCAAACTTAAGAGTAATTTTTGTAATATTTAATGTTGCTTATATTATTATATGATGTGTTTCATTTTGTTTAAATACAATATCATGTAATTAAATATTTTTTTTATTATTCTAACAAGAAAAAACATTTCAATGAAGGTTAATGGTTCCTGACGAATGAGGATTCTCTTTGTGAGGATCCCGGAGATCCTCCAATCACATCCGTTTATCGTACATCGTGCAACTAATTTTCGTTAGATACTGTTTATATTTAATTTAAATAAAAGATTTACAATGATTTATAACCGCACGATATACGATGAACGAATGTGATTAGAAGATCCCCGGGATCCTCACAAGAAGGATCAGGAGAGGATCCTCATTTGTTCCCGACCCGCCCCATTGTCAGGCGTAGGCTAGTCATTAGCCTTCATCATCATAATTGAATACTAGATTCAGTACACACACTGTGTGTGATCTAAAATTTTAAAAGGAATTTAATTTATTAATGTCAAATTATGTCAAATAAATTAGTGGATTGGAGAAGTTTGAAAAAGTGCAAGAGAAAAGTAGACCTAGGGTGCAAATGTGAGATAGAGTGAGTTTATGTTATTGATAGCTGTGAGATTTTTTAAAAAAAAAAAAGTAAAAATTTGTTTGTGCAAAATTATTTTAATGCTCACATTTTTACTTTTGTAATTTTTTTTGTTATGTATAATAATGTATAATAGTAATTTTATTTGTTTTTGGTTAACAATTAAATTTTATTCGTTTTTTTGGTGACAATTAAAATTTTATTAGGAGTATGCTATCCACACATCCCAAATTACTTCTCACACACCCTTATTAATTTCTATCCGTTGATCTTCTTCAATTCATCCGATCCGATGGCCGAAAAATTAGAAGGGTGTGTGAGAAGTAATTTGGGATGTGTGGATATCACAACCCTTTTATTAATATGTAGTTTAAATTTTTATATAAAAGAATACTTTATCGGTCTAATGACTTCTAGTGTTTTGGGCCTTGCTAATGGTAGACCCATGGACTTCATAGTATAGCCCTTGTTTGGTCTGGGCTTGGCCCGTCATTATAATAAGTTTAATTTTAGGGAAGTGTTGTTGGTACTCTAAAAATTTCATTCTACACTCTAGTTAAAAGATGCGATTATAAGATAGAAATTCAGGGTCAAGGGGGTAGAGAAAGATCGAGGAAGATGTGGAAAGAGACTCTAAGAAAAGACTTGGAGTACTTGGGTCTAACGAAGACGTGGCACAAAGTCAGACGCAGTGACGTTCTAGGATTCATACAGCTGACCTCACTTAGTAGGATATGACTTTTTGGTTATTGTTTTGAAATAGGGTAATGCTGGGGAAACAATTTTTAAACTAAATTTGTAAATTAAGTGATATATCATCAATAAAAATAAATACGTTAATCAACAATGAAATAATCATAAAAACCTATACTGTTTAAGTTACAAAATTTAATTTAAAATTTAGTCCCTTGAAAATAAAAGGGAAATTTGGAAAAGTAACCATATTTTAGACCTCATATAGAATTATAGCCACCATTTTAATTTTACGATAATTCTAACCAAAACTTGATGTAAAAATACTAATATACCCTTAATATTAGGGTTTCTCACAACAAAAACAAAACCTAATCAACATCAGTCAACCAAGAATGAAAAACAGGAAGAGATTTTGACAAAAAAAAAAAAAAGAATAGCGAGAGATTAACAATTTGGGGTTTGCTTGGTGTTGAATTTTGACAAAAAATAAAAAGAACAGCGAGAGAAAAACAGGAAGAAAATCACGAGAAGAGAGGTGTCCATGGAAGCATCGGTAAAGCTTTGGTAAAGCATTGGAAAATCAGGAGCTTTTGCTTGGCGTTGAATTTTAAGGTTTTGGGGTTTGCTGCAAGGAGGTGTCCATTTTTCACCACCGAAACCCTAAACCCAAAACCCAGGTTAGTTATATGTGCTAATTAATTTTTTCTATAACTTTTTCCTAATTTTAATATATTTGCAGGTTAGTTAGATGCGCTAATTAAATTTTTTTTTCCTTCAGAAAATGACTCAATTTGTGACCGTGGTCCATTACGGATGGAGGAGGGTTGATAGCCAATACACAAATGGTTAAGCGAAAGCAATGGTAGTGTCAACTGAAGTTACTCATCCAGATCTTATACAAGGTATATATAAACGTCTTCATGTTAGTCCAAGTGAATTTAGAATCTCAGTACATTATCAATGCATTAGCAATGTAGGGATACAAACTATGATGGAGATTGTAGACAACGACGATGTGACTAGTTGGGTATGTGAAAGTCTTTCTGCAAAACCGAACAAGATTCCGTTATATGTTACAACATCTCTAAATGAACCTGAAGATGAACACCCAATTGCATGCAGTTCCCCATCACCAACAATGGGAATTCAAGAGAATGATGACATTTTGGGTGATGAACAACCAAGTCAAGTTCTTCAAGACAATGCCCAGATTAGTGAGGCTTCAATAGATGTGAGTTTTGAGTTTACTGATGACTATCATGACAGTACCCATTTCGATAATGTGCAGTCGAATGATGTCAATTTCAATCTATCGTCGTCTCGTCGTAACAAGCGTAAGAACATACAAGACTATGATAATATTGTAGATTTGAATATAGATGGAGATATTATGGTCGGACAATTGTACTCGAGTAAGAAAGAGTTGCAAAAACAATTAGCTATGATTGCAATGAGGAAGAATTATGAATTTAAAGCGGAAAGATCAACTAAGGATCGTTTGGAAATTAGATGTGTGGATCATAATTGCAAGTGGCGACTTCATGCAACCAAGTTACAAGTGTCAGAATTTTTTGAAGTAAGAAAATTTGAAACTAATCATTCTTGTTCATTAGATGTTGTTCAGCGTGATCATCGGCAAGCAAGTAGTTCTGTTGTTCGCCAATTTATAAAGTCAAAGTATGAGGGGGCATCACGTGTATATAGACCTAAAGACATCATTGAGGATATGCGAGTACAAGTTGGGGTTAATATGAGCTACGAGAAAGCTTGGAGAGCAAGAGAGCACGCATTTGACATGATCCGAGGGTCGCCAGAGGAATCTTTTGCCTCACTTCCTGCCTATTGTGCCATGTTAGAAAGTAAAAACCCTGGGACAATAACACATATAGAAACAGATGACAATAATCACTTTTTATACTTTTTCATGGCAATGAGAGCCTCTATAAGGGGATTTCGTGGTTCTATGAGGCCTGTGGTAGCAGTTGATGGGACTTTTCTAAAGGGTAAATATCTTGGCACCTTATTTGTTGCTGTATGCCATGATGGACAAAATCAAATATATCCTTTAGCATTTGGTGTGGGTGACTCAGAAAATGACGCTTCATGGACATGGTCTCTTACAAAATTGAGAAGTGTCATTGGAGAGGTAACAGACTTGGTGTTTGTATCTGATCGACATGGAAGTATTGGTAAAGCTGTACAAACTGTGTTTCCAGAGGTATATCATGGAGCTTATATGTATCATGTAGCTGGCAACATGAGGAATAAATTTGGTGATGATGAAACGATGTTTAACTTATATTACACTGCGGCAAACATACCTTGTGTCAGAGTTTAATAGTGTAATGACTGATATTTGGGCAATCAAAGATGGAAAAGTAGGAAAATATCTTCAAGAAATTGGGTATCATAGATGGGCTCGGGCACATTTCATTGGAAAACGATACAACATGATGACAACCAACATTGCCGAATCCATGAATGCAAAACTGAAGGATGCTCGAAAGTTGCCTATCATTGCTCTAGCGGATCACCTTAGAGGTATACTACAAGAGTGGTTCAACGAACGTCGGAACACAGCAAGTTCATGGAATTCGACCTTGACAAAGTGGGCAGAGGAAAAAGTGCACAAGAATCAAAATAGAGGCTTGTGTATGTCAGTATCTATGATTTGTTTACATTTTTATGCACTCTCACATTCCTAATGCACATTGGACACCTAAATTCACATAGAATCCATACCAAGAACAAACGAAGGAAAAAAAAAAAAGGAACCAACAAAAAGCTATTTTCACTCTTCTTAACTTTTTATTTAATCAGTTGTGGCCATGAAGCATGTAATATTTCATGGTTAAGTGAGTTGGATGACGGCCAAATCTATGTCGTTAGTGCACATATTTTGTTAACAAAAAACATAGTTAAAATGTTTTAAACAAATAAGCAGGTTGATAAAAGAATATGATAATTATGATTAATTGGTCTCTTGTTGTTGGTTGTTACTTGTCAACTATGCAGGTATCTTCCATTAATCACTATGCATTGCAAGTACATGAGGCAGACTTATATCATATAGTTGATCTAAATACCAAGTCATGCACGTGTAAAAGGTTTGATCTCGACCAGCTTCCATGTGTCCATGCAACTGCTGCATGTCGAATTCGCAACACATCAGTGTACATTATGTGCTCCAAATTCTACACAGCCAATGCAATTATGCTAGCGTATGCAGAGCCCATTTGGCCGGTTAGAAACAAGAGTGAATGGAGTGTGCCAGAAGAGGTGCATAATAGAGTTGTGTTACCTCCAATCAGACAAGTTGTATCTGGAAGACGCAAGACAAACAGAATCCCATCTCAGGGAGAGGAAAAGATAGTGAAGAAGTGCAGTCGCTGTGGTGGGACATGCCACAATCGCCAAACTTGCAAGAATCCAATTAGACTCCATTCCAACACATGATGTGAATGTTTTTCTTTGCGATTTATTACATTATTGGGCTTTATATTATTCGGATTTATCACATTATTGGCTTTTATATTTTCAATCACCAGGATTTATCACATTATTGGCTTTTATATTTTCAATCACCAGTTTGGCAGAAAAACCTCACACAGATTTTAGCTTAAAAGGCTTTTTGCTCCTCTATTTTTAGATTCAAATTTTGCTTCGGAGATTCAATTCCTAAATAATTTTTATGTTGACTAGGTTATCTTCAAATCTCACTTTCTCTGATTACATTTGAATATCCATATATATATATATATATATATATATATATATATATATAAGAGTGTAGGAAATGGAGGGTTCCAGAATAGGGGTATTAGGTAGTATTGAGGAGGCTACCTCTTTTATGTTTCAAGATCTCAACATTAAGTTTTGGTTAGAATTATCATAAAACTAAAATGATGGCTATAATTCTATATGTGGTCTAAAATATGGTTACTTTTCCAAATTTTCATTAAGGGTATATTAGTACTTTTAACATTAAATTTTGGTTAGAATTATCATAAAATTAAAATAGTGGCTATAATTCTATATGAGATTTAAAATATGATTACTTTACAAATTTCTCAAAATAAAATAGTAGAGACTTCATGCACGAAATCGCGTCCCTTGGAAAATACAATAGTAGTGACTTCATGAACGAAATCGCATCCAGGTTCAATGAACCGTGACATTCGTCAACTGTTTCCGTTACCGCATTTTAACGCTTTTCCCTGTGCTCTCCACGCGAACACGGTACACAGACTCTCTCTCTCTCCCTCTCTCTCTCTCTAAGCATTCAGATTTCTCTCATGGCTTTCTTAGCTCCGCCTCCTTCCCTCCAATCTTTGCTTCGCGCTCCGCTCTCTTTCCACAAGCCCAAAGGTAATCTCGTAACCCTCTCTCCCTCTTTTAATTTTAATTTTTTCAATTTTTTTGTATTTATTTATTATTGTTGTTGAAATGTATGTGGTTCGTTATCATTTGCCTGTCTGAGCTGACTCTGATCTCATCGACTTCACTTGTTGGTTATGAAATTTGAATTGAATTGGTGCTCATGATCATGCAATGTGAAATGTGATTACCCAAATGATTAATTTGTTTAATTTTTTATTTTGGGATTGAATTCTTAGAAATTGAGTTTATAATTTGTGGGTTTTGTGTAGTTTTCTGCTTTGTTCTTTAATTTGTTTAATTGAATTTGAATGGGATTTAATGCATTTTTTTATTTGTTATTTCAAACACATTAGCTCAAAGGACATCTTCTTTGAATCCATCAGATCAATTCTCGTTTCAATCGAAGGCTGGGGCCGCTTGCCGGAGACCATCATTGGCAACACCCCTTTCCGCAGAATCGAAAAGGAACAAATATCTCCAGGTATAATGTGCTAACTGGTAACTGTTATGTCATTGTGAGAAGCTTGAAATTAATCTTTTCGTTTTCTCATCGACGTGAAGGAATTGTTGTGTAAATTGATTGTTGGGGTTATTGTAGAGGTTGGCAGCAACATAGTACGAAAGGATTACAAAAAACTGGCGAAAGAGTTGGAAGCCGCTTCCCCACTTCAAATCATGGAGAAGGCTCTTGACAAATTTGGGAATGACATTGCCATTGCTTTCAGGTAATTTCACCTTTTCTAGTGCTAATTTCTTGATTTGGTAAATAAATTAAATTACTAAAAACTGAAATGCGCCCACCATGGGGCTCGAACCCACCAACTGAGCTAGACGGGCTTGTTATTTGTAATACTATTCAGTCTCTTCTACATAGTGTTTAACGAACCTATTCCCTCAAGTAAAATGTTTCAATTTCGACAGTTTTACTTTTACCGGGGTTTATAATCATTTACAATGAAAACTTAAATTTAGTTAATGTTCATTTGTGCAGTGGAGCTGAGGATGTCGCCTTGGTTGAGTATGCCAAACTAACAGGTCGGCCCTTCATGGTATTCAGCCTGGATACTGGGAGGCTTAACCCAGAGGCATACCATTTTTTCGACACTGTTGAGAAGCACTATGGCATTCACATTGAATACATGTTCCCCAATGCCGTTGAAGTTCAAGCACTAGTGCGAGGCAAATGACTGTTCTCATTCTATGAAGACGGCCATCAAGAGTGCTGCAGGGTAAGGAAGGTTAGGCCTTTAAGGCGAGCCCTTAAAGGTCTCCATGCCTGGATCACTGGGAAGAGAAAAGACCAGTCTCCTGGCACAAGAGCTGAAATCCTGGTCCAGGTGGATCCATCCCTTGAAGGAATTGATGGTGGAATTGGAAGCTTGTTAAAATGGAATCCTGTTGCCAATGCGGAAGGCCATGACATATGGAACTTCCTCCAAGTCATGGATGTTCCTGTCAATCCTTTGCACTCACAAGGTTACATTTCAATCGGGTGTGAGCCATGCACAAGGCCGGTGCTGCCAGGGCAGCATGAAAGGGAGGGAAGATGGTGGTGGGAGGATGCTAAGGCAAAGGAATGTGGCCTCCATAACGGACATATCGAACAAAAAGCGGCGCTGCACCTCAACGGCAATGGAAATGGGATGTCGACAACAAATGGGAGTGCCAATGTCCCAGACATCTTTAACAGCAAGAACTTGGTTTCCTTGAGCAGGACTGGGATAGAGAACCTGGCTAGATTGGAAAACCGAAGTGAACCTTGGCTTGTTGTTCTTTATGCACCATGGTGCCGTTTCTGCCAGGTGAATACTATTCTTATTTTGTTGCCATGGTTACCTTGTAAAGCCGAAAATTGGCTTACTCTGACACTACCTTGATTCTTTTCCAGATTTTTCGCGGGCAATGGAAGGATCGTACGTTGAATTAGCTGAGAATCTGGCAGGAACATGGGTAAAGGTGGGTAAGTTCAGGTCTGATGGGGAACACAAGGAATATGCACAGAGAGAACTGAAGTTGGGGAGCTTCCCAACAATACTCTTCTTCCCCAAACACTCGTCAAAGCCCTTCAAGTATCCATCGGAGAAGAGGGACGTAGCATCGTTGTTGGCTTTTGGGAATGCCCTCCGGTTAGAACTCAATGCACCTGATCGGAGCTAGGAATCTTACCACAAGGGGTCTTAGTGTAAAAGTCCAAATAAAAATTTAGGATGGAAAAACATATTGAAAATGAAATCATAGTACTTTCATTCATAATTAATAACGGAAACAACATTACAAGCTATAATTGTCCACGATGAGGTTTCATATTTTGAAAGCGAAGCATTATAGCTTCATTTTCAATACAAGCAAAAATATCTCTCTCAATATAAACAAGCAAGCTATCACTCAACCACTGATCTCCCATTTTGTTCCTAAGTGGACCCTTAACAATATTTATGACAGAAAATGCTATCTCCACTGAAGCAATTGCAACTGGTAAAACTAAAGACAATGTAATGAGCAAATATACATAATTGAATACTTGATGCATCCTTGTCTCCACCATTTTTTTTGCAAGATCACCAACCCCTTCCAATTGAGAGAAATCACTACTGGAATGCACATAATGAATATAAATCTCAAGTTGATCTTTAAGTGCAAAACAATCCTCATCCGAAAAGTCTTGAGGATAAAATTGAGCAAGACGAAGTAACTTTGGTTTATCAAAAGCTACAAATGAATCTTTCGGACTCAAACATGCCAAACAAATAAGCAACTTGGTATTTACCTCATTAAAGCGATCATCTAACTCCGTAATTTGCTCATCAATGACATAAATAAAGAGCTTCACACGATAATGATGACGATTTGTCTTTATTGGAGCATTACGCCTTGACCTCCCTGGAAGTATAAATGCCTCTTCCATGTTAGGAACATCAATATGATGTTTTTCACAAAAAGAAGATACTTCATCAACCAATGCATCAAACCCATTATTCCTTATCCAATGTAGCTTTTCCTTGCATGATTTCACTAAAGCCATTGCATTCACAATTTCTTGATCTTTCCTTTGCAATGCTTGTGACAAATCATTTATGAGTCCCAATATGACTTTCATCAAGAAAACGTGAAACACAAACTCAAAAGTACGTATTTCTCTCATTAACTTATTTGCTTCACCCACACTTTCATTGGGATTATCATCAATAACCATTTGAAGCACATGAACCACGGATGAAAACATGGAAATGATGCTAATCAAGGTACCATAGTGTGAGTTCCATCGTGTGTCACCGGCACGTTTGAGATTTGTTTCTTGATTTAAGCCTCGCCCCGTTATAAGACAATCATTTTCAAAAGCTATCGCAAGCTCTTCTTGAAGTTGTTGTCTAAGTAAATCACGCCGCTTACAAGATGCTCCAACATGATTAACCACACTATTAGTCGTTGCAAAAAAAGAGGCAATGTCTATATTCTTCTTTGCTACAGCAACAAGAGCTAGTTGAAGTTGATAAGCAAAGCAATAAACATAATATGCACAAGGTTGTTATCTCAATATCTTTGTTTTAAGGCCATTCAACTCACCTCTCATATTGCCCATCATAACCTTGTTCTCGTAGCTTGGAAATGCTCAAACCGTTGCAAGAAAAGAATGTGTCAATAACATCCTTTAGTGAACTTGAAGTAGTGTCGGTAACATGTTAGATACCGACAAATCTTTCAATTACATGCCCGTTGTCATCCACATAACGCAACACCATAGCCATTTGCTCTTTCACTAACACATCGCGTGCTTCATCCACCAATATTGAAAAGAATCTATCTTTTAGACCATCAATGATAGCATCAAGTGTTTCAAGAGCACATGAATTCACAATTTCTTTTTTAATGCAAGGAGCTAGTAATTTGAGATTCCCCGGAGCATTTTCCATCACAACTTCTCTAACTTTATCATCATTATCTGCAAGGAATTGCAATAGCTCCAAGTAATTTCCCCTATTGCTTGAAGTGGCACCTTCATCATGGCCACGAAAAGCAAGACCTTGTCGTAATAAAAACTTAGTGCACTTGATTGATGCATTCAAGCATGTGCGATA